AATAATACCTTGCTCTTTACACCCCAGCAGTTTTATTGTGCTTTTTTGCTGTTGTTAATGCTCACCAGGTCTATATGGCACAGTGGGATGTTTAAAAGGAATAGGGATGATGATGCCGAAACGTTTTGGAACATATTTTTTACATCATTATGTTCAATATAATATTAGTCTGGTCAGTATATCATTTGACTAATTAATTAAATAAAGCAATCAGATGTCAGTGTTTATTAAATAAGACTTTATTGTAAGCTTAACGCTTAAACAAGTCTTTTGATGATTGAAACAAAACAAACAAACAAAACAGGAAGCAGTCATGGTTTCTGCCTTCAAGGGATGTTGATCAATTGGGCTAATTTTTATTTACCCTCTAGATTCTGCCCCAGGATCATCTCCTCCAGGAAGGATTACCAGGTCTTCTATCCTGGACTCAGGGTCATTTCCTGTGGTTCCAGTTCCCTGCATATGTCTGCCTGATTGGGAATATTGACTAAATTGGATAATGGTATTTTCAGTATACCGCCTTTTAAGTGATCAAATTCTACGCTAGATTTGAATTACTTGAGGGCAGGGAAGTGTTTTCTGTTTGCGTGTTTTAATATTTTATCTCTATCACTTGGCACAATATACAGAAAAAAATACATGTCTTTTGAATGAATGCATAAATATTGCAAAACAGCTATATTTTTGAAGAGGGCCAGATGCATAGTCTGAAGTTACAGATTGTAAATGGTTTGGAAGTTAACGGGGGGATTAGTGAGGGTTGGAGTTGTCACAGTGTGAAGTGGGACTTCTCTGGGTCCTTTCTAGATGGATAGGTAGAATTTAAATGGGGGGAGGGTAAAGAGAAGGGCATGAACAATGACATGAGTGAAAGCAAGTTTGAAAATGAGCACAGAGAGTACAGAGGCCAGGTAGAGCAAAAAGTGTAGTTATTGAGCTTTGGAAAGAGAATCTGGAGAGGTAGGATAAAACCAAGATATGGGAAGTCCGGAAAGTGCAACAGAGAATTGTGATACGTTATGCTTTGAAAGGAACAGTCTGTTTAAAACACGGAATTTCTGTGCAAGAAAGTGTAATTCTATAATGGCAGATGTTAGAGAGAGTCCAGAAAAAAATTATGGTAATTTGGAAGAGAGATGAAGAAACACCAGGTTAGGGTGTTGACAACAGAAATGGAATAGAAGCCAGAGAGAAGAGATTTGAGTACCTAAGTGCTAAAAGATAGGACTAGGAAAAAATAAGCTTCTTAAACTGTAAAAATACAACGCTAAAGTTATATATACACACACACGGATACATACATGTTCATATACATGGATCCATACTTATAGGAATAAAATAGGTGTTTTCTAAATAAAGGCCAAGATAAAGGTAGTTTTGGATTATTTTGTTGCTTTCAGCTCAGTTGCATGGTCTGATTATTTTTTCAGCAAGATGCTGGCTCAGCCAATTTACCCTTAAGGTATTATAAGTCATTGTAGATTAATAGGTTTCTTTAGGAATCTTTAAAGGACAAGGCCATTTTGGTGGAAAAGAAGACTTAGTGGCCAAGATCATACACAACGATTTTTTTTTTTACCTTTATTTAGTGTGTTGTCAATTTATAAGATATTTCCCTGTTGTATGATTGGGATACAAGATCTAAGAAATAACACAAAGCTATAATTTATAGCAGCAATAAATTTTTGTTA